CATACAAGGAAATCATCAGGAGGTCACAGATCATTCTGAAACATCAGCGCAGTGTCACAGGCTGATGACAGGCTGACGGTGGAGGTCACGGACTAGCATTCTTTGGGGAAGACCTCATAGAGTGGAAGAGTTGCATCAGCAAAATGTCACTGAAAGCTGTCACCACAATCAACAAATGGGGCAGAGCATAGCTTACTAATGAACCAACAGGCACAGTACATTGAGAAGCCTCAATGCTTTTGCTGAAGGCTGCAACATAATATTGTGTTAAGATAGTTTCTTAGTCCAAACATAATTCATAAAGCCCTACAGAGAATGGCAGTGCAGGATTCTACATAACTGTGATGTTGGGTACGCTCCCAGCCATCTCTCTTCTTGAACAGTTTTAGCCAAAATCTTAAGGCAGCACTTACTGCTTACCAATACTGAGAAGCAAAGTGTAAACAGAGAGTCAAGAGCAAGTGTGTGAAGCATGAAAAGACAGATCTCCCCTTTTACAGGAGATAATCAACAATCAATGAATGGGAAATTCAGAATCATGACTGGAGTTTTCAGCATAGGCTCTGAGGCAGAGGGACCTGGGGTTAGTCCCAGCTACTTTACTGATGTCCATGGAAGCAGCAGTCAAGAAATCAAATGATGTACTCTATTGGGCAAATATGCAGCAAAAGATGGTCTTTTCAATTGCTTCACATACATGTGAAAGCTGGACAATCAAAATGGAAGACAGAAGAAGAATTGATGCATTCAAACTACGGTGTTGGTGAAGAATACTAAATACACCATGGACTGCCAGAAGAATGAACAAATCAGTTTCAGAAGAAATAAAACCAGAATGCTCCTTAGAAGAGAGGATGAAGAGACTTCAGCTCGCTTACTTTGGACATGTCATCGGGAAAGACCATTTACTTGAAAAGGACATCATGTTTGGTAAAGCAGAGGGTCAGTGAAAATGAGGGAAACCTTTAATGAGAAGGATTGACACAATAGCTACAACAATGGACTCAAACATAGGGACAACCATGGAGATGGTGCAGGATCAGGCAACATTTCATTATATTATACACAAGGTCACCATGAATCGGGGTTGACTTGATGAAAACTAAAAACAACAACACCCCACTGATATGCTGTATGACCTTGGGACATTAAACTCTCTAAGCCTCAGTTTCCTCATCTTTAAAATGGGAATAATAATACCTATTCTACGGCATGGTTAAAAACAAAAACAAAAACCCATACCCCTTGCCACCCAGTCGACTCTGACTCACAGCAACCCTGTAGGACAGAGTAGAACTGCTCCACAGGGTTTCCAAGGAGCAGCTGGTGGATTTGAACTGCTGACCTTTTTGATTAGCAGCCGTAGCACACTGTAGCTCTTAACCAATGCAGGATGGTAGAAAATATTAAATTAAATAATATAAGTCAAGCAGTTAGTATGGTGCCTGGAAAGTAATAAATCATGAAAATTTTAGTTAATGTTAAAATAATTTTATAATAATTAAATTAATTATTAAATTATTATTGCTACTAGTTACAATTAGGACATACTTTTAAAAAGGATTGCTATGAATTTAACTTGTATGTCATCTGATCTGGAAGTATAATAAGGGTATCCGATTCCTACTGATTTCGTGAGTCAAATAGAAAACCAAAACAAATTGAATCATTCAACTGGTGTATTTAGAATTGCTGATGATTACAGCAGTAAAGAAAGTTAGTGAAACATGTAAATTGCAATTGAACTGTTCTTGAAAGTTCCAAAAATCAGTTTTCATTTGTCTAGTTTAATAGGGGGTAGGTTTTATTCATTTAACAAATGTATATTCAGAGCCTTCTGAAAAAGAAACAAAGTGCAAGGTGAACATGGAAAGATAAGAGGTGTTAATCCAGAGAGGATATGCCAAAATCATTGATATCCCATTTTAGAATACAATAAAAGTATTGCCTATTGCTTTATATTTTTCAAGGAATTATTACTTTCATTGTCATTTTATTTCATTACACACATACACAAACACATACACACATGCACACAGGCAAGGCCACAAACATACATATTCATCCTCTCCATATATAGCATTGATTCTTTCCTAGGTCAGCTGTACTGTTAGGGACTGGGGCATACATGGAGGGGAAGGAACAGTGTAACCAACGAGTTTATGGGTCTAGTCCAGAGAATTCATTCAAAGGATAATCCAATTACCAAAATTTGAGAGGGGCTGGTATGTGTATCGCTTTTAACATCTAATTAAAAAAAAAACTACACAACACAACTTGGGCAAAGTCACCAATATCAAAGGTCCTAATGTAGCATAATTTGTGTTGAGTGTGTTCCATTCTGATGGTGCTATAAACCAGGGAGACAGTTTACTGACAATTCTGTGCTACCAGATACCAACTCAGGCCTCTGTCCAGCTTTACATTGTCAACTTTCATGGAAACATGAGCAGTTACATAGCCTCAGAGGATGCTCAAGTTTGGATTGGAAATGACGAGATGGACAGATTTCATATTTTCATTGCAGATTTTTTTTTTTTGCCTTTTTAAATTGCTGAGCATAATTTCTTTACAGGCAGGAAATGCAACCAGTGTTTGTTTCTAGCATGGCTTCTGTTGTCAGACTTCTTTTTGTAGAAGAAATGTGTTGCCCAGCTGTCTAGAATCTCAATCAGGATACGGTTTCAGCACGAAATATATTACAAGAATGATTTTAGCTGGTTATAAACAGGAATGAAAATGAGGCTGGGGCTCTTCTATCCAATTTTACCCACAGAGAGGGGACTCTGTTTCAATCAAATGGGAATGATATGAATAAATGAGGTAAAGTTTAGTTTTGTGTTTTTCCCAGAAGAGAGAGTAATTGTTGAAAGACAAAGGCACGCATTAGTGAACAAGCAGAGCTATGGAGCTGCTCAGTTATAGGGATTCTCAGAAATAGTGTCATGTGGGGACTGGGTAAATGTAATGGAGTCATAACTTAAAAGTTCAAACCAAGATGAACTTCTGAAGAGTTTAATGCTTCCCAGTATTAATACCTGGAAAACATACACACACATATTACTCAGCAAATGTTAATTGAGAACTCCCTGTATGGAGGCCCCAGGGCTAGTACCGGGTAATGGGGGAGGATACAAGGATGATTCAAGTCCTAGCTTTTGAGGTGTATATAGAATCGTGGAAGAGACAGATGTCACTACCAGTATCCTATTTTTTGATTCTAAAACTTTCAAATTTTAGTGTTTCTGAAATACAATTACTGGGTAGATTTAATTATTCTTCCTCCAAAAGACGCATTAAATCAATGGGTCTTACAATAGATGAAATTCTAGACGTTAGATGAAATTCAGTCCTATGTGCACATACTACTGTAAATTTAACTACCCAGTTTAATAGGAACACAGAAAAGGAATCTCTGCCTGGAGAAATGTAGCAGGCTTCCTGTAGGAAATTGCTTATAATTTGGGCCTTGAAGAAAGAGCAGAAATCTACCAGGCTGAGAAGTTTGTGCATGAGGGTTAGGAAGAAAAACACAGGAGGCTATTCTCAAAGTAGAAGGAAAGAGTATCAAAGGCAGTAAGAAATATAACAGTACGTAAACATGAGAGTAGAGTTTAAGAAGGTACTGTGAAGGAAATTCAGAGGATCTGAAGCAAGCCAAAAGTTAGATGGGAGGCCAGACCATAAGAAGTTTGTATAAATTCTCCTGAAGGCAACCTTTGATTGTTTTTAAGTGGAAGGAAAATTAACATGTATTGAATAAATACCATAAGTCCAACATGGTACTAGAGAAATACCACATATATCTCATTTAATTCTCACAAATGTTAGCAATGCATTTCCTTCCTGTTTTTAGTGATAAGGAACAGAGGCACAGAAAGGTTAAATAAGATTCCAATGACACGAGGAGATTGAGTTTAGGTTCTACCCATTTGTCTGATTCTAAAACCCATGAGCTCTCTATAACACCACCTTAAGATGTTTAGGAACACTGATGGTTCAGTGTTAGAATTCTTGCCTTCCATTTGAGAGACTCGAGTTTGATTCCTGGCCAATACATCTTACATGTAGCTACCACTCATCTGGCAGTGTTTGACCGCATGTCACGATGGGCCCTGGTGTGCAGTGGTTAAGGGCTTGGCTGCTAACTGAAAGGTCAGAAGTTTGAACCCACCAGATATCCCATATGGGAAAGATGTAGCAGTCTGCTTCTGTAAAGATTTATAGCCTTGGAAACCCTGTGGGGCAGTTCTACCCTGTCCTATAGGGTCACTATGAGTTGGAATTGACTTGACGGCAATGGGTTTGGTTTAGTTTTTTATGATACTGAACAGGTTTCAGACTAAGATAGACTAGGAAGAAAGATTTGGCGATCTACTTCTGAAATATCAGCCAATGACCACTCTATGGATCACAGTGGTCCAATCTGCCACTGATCACGGGGATGGTGCAGGATGAAGCAGCATTTCGTTCTGTTGTACATGGGGTCATCATGAGTTGGGAGTTGACTTGATGGAAGCTGACAACAAAAGATGTTTAAATCTTCTTGTTCTTCTTCAAGATTTCCTCATTTTTAATTCTTTTCTTTACCTATTATATGTTTTTTTATGTCTGTGACTTTGACGCCTACATTTTCCATCGTTCATTTATCCATTCATTCATCAACAAATATTAAGTGCCTATTATATCTCAGTAACAATTTTTTGAAGCTGGGTTACTTGTCTTTCTTTTATTCTTCTCATCCCCATTTTTAGTTTGCCATGTTCCACTCATTGATTTCACATAAACGATTGGCTGGTCCCTCTCTCTGTTTCATTCATCTCCAGATAAACCAGTTATCTTTCATTTCTCTGGTGATAATATTTTAATTTCTTCAACTTTCTCTTTCCCTCCTTTAAAGTTTTTATCGTTATATATTCACAGTACATACAGCACAGGGTCTGAAATATTGTTAGAGATGAAACGACTGGAAAAATGACTGAAGTGAACAAATCACTTACCTTGGTTGACAATAAATCTTAACTTCTGTATTGTTGCCAGATTGCCACTAACTCGATATATTCCATCAACGTCTAGGCCTGAAAAAAAGGACATGTTTTATATTAACTTATATCAGAACTGAGATGGTAAAAGAAAAAATATCTTAATGAATATGGGAGGATGAGAGTAGTAAATTGCAAACACGTTTCTCTGTCCTAAACTCAGCAATTGAAAAAATTGTAATCCCAATAGAATAATCATGAAGGTCAGCAATAGTTAATCATCATCCAGTTTGAGTCTAGCTGAATCACAGGACAGCAATGGGTAGTGTGATGGTTAATTTTATGGGTCAACTTTACTAGACTACCATGCTAGTTGTTTGGTCAAACACTAGTCTAGATGTTGCTATGAAGGCATTTTCATGTGGATCAGATGATATTAAATAAAACAGATTACCCTCTGTGGTGAAATAAGTTCCTTTATGTGGCCTTTTGTCTTGGTTCTTTGGAAAAACAGCATGAGAGATTTTTCCCCTGAACCCTGACGAGCTACCTTTGCCCTAGTTTTCTAGTTTTGCCCAGAGGCTTTGTTACTTTTGCCCAGGTTGATTGACATTTCTTGGGTAAACTGTAAAAAAGAATGGATTGATAATTTTTGCCTGGCCCTGGGCTGCAGCCTGCCCTGTGATTGGTATGCATCTTACAGGGATTGGTCAACAGACGATGCAAATGAAGTGTCTACAGCCTACTATGTAAATAAAGTGTCTGTGGCCTACCAAGAGGGGAATTGGTAAGTTACTGACCCTGGTAGTAGGGTTATGCCTTGAAATTGATGAGGAGTTTGTAGATATAAGCAGCCAACCCCATAGAGGTTTCAGAGACAGAAAGAAGCAGGACGACAGGAAGCAGGAAGAAGCAGAATGGAGAAAGGCAAGAGAAAAGAGAGAAGCAGCAGAGAGGCAAAGAAGGCAAGGAACCTTCTTAAAGAGGAGGTGTAACACGAGTCAAGGGCTGTGACACTGAAGATAGTGAGAAGCCCAGAAGGAGCCCAGTGGCAGAACCAGTGGTGACAAGTCTGGAAGGGGCCCAGTGGCAGAGTCAGTGGAGCCAGGCCTGGAAGAGGCTCTGCAGCAGAGTTGGTGGAGACAGATGGCAGGGCCAAGAGGAGCCTGTCCTGAGGCGGGCCAAGAAGAGCCTGTCCAGAGGAGGTCGGGAGGAAGCCCGTCTTGAGGTGGCTGAGAGGAGGCCTGTCCTGAGGGGGCACTAGAGGAGGCCTGCATGGCTGAGAGGAGCTGAGAGAGGTCCTGCACTGAAGATGGGAGACTTTGCCTACTTGCTTCCTGACCTGATCCTGAGTTGTAGCCCGTTGATTCTGATTCCGATTTGTACCCTGTTACTTCCTTAATAAACCACTTAACTGTGGGTATGGTCTGTAATTCTGTGTGGCCATTGTGGTGGATTATCGAACCCAGAAGTAGACAGCACCATAGGAGGGAAGGCTGGTGTCAGAATTGGTAAAAAGATTGGAGGGCAGAGGTATGTCTGACCTCCACCTCATGGGAATCAGCTTTGGGTTGATCCTGCTCATTATTTCCCCTGAAGTTAGACAAGTTCTGATGCTACTACTGCTACTACTACCCTTATACACCATCCATAATGTGGGAAGACCTCATCCAATCAGTTAAAGGCCTTAAGAGCAAAAATTAAGGTTTCTAGAGGGAAAAGGATTCTGCCTCAAGCTGTGAATAGACATCCTGCTGGAATTCCCAGTCCACCACCTGGCCAGATTTTGGCCGCGAGACTGCTAGACTCTCCAGCTTGTTGCTTGACCTTTGGATTTTAGACTTCTCAGCCCCCACAGTCACATGAGTCAAAGCTCTCTCTTTTTATATATATCTTACTGGTTCTGGTTCTCTGGAGACTTCCGACTAAGACAAGTAACATGGGCTTATACAGTATATCTAAGATTGGTTCCCAAGGAAATGCCACAACTAAACTGGGGAAATAAAAGGATTCCTAACTATATGTGTATTCTTGCCCATTTTTTGAGAGCTAAAATAATCCAAGGGGTTTGTGAACTCTTTTCTCCCTTCCTTTCTTTCCTTCCCTCCTTCTATCTTGTCTCTCCCTCTTCACTCTCTTCCCTCCCATCTACTCTTATTCTACTTTTTCCCCCTATTCCTGTGCCTACTATAGCAAAACATGAATTAGTCTGATTATTTGAAACTACAGGGTGAAAATTTTATTCCAGATGTGTAACTAGTTTGAAAACCTCTAGTATATTACAGGTAATGGGGTGCTCCATTATGGAGGACAAAAGAATCAGAAATCCTTGACAAAATAGTAAAATTAGTTTCATACGATTTTAGAACTAGTCATCTATACCTCAAAATAACATACTATTCCTGACAGTGGACTTGGATAATCAACCACAAAGTTATTTATAACATTCAGTTATTTCCATGACCAAGATATCAAGAAGATGAAGAAACAAGAGAATGAAAAGAGAGCTACTTATTCAAACACTACTATTGCCCCTAACAAATACTAATGACACAATTTTACTGTCATGAGTGTATATTCTTTGATGTGCGCAGGCCCTCAGAGAGGCTTGAGTGAGGTTACCAGTCAATGCAGAGGTCACTATCTCGGCAGCTTTTCTAGGGAGGTAGTAGGGCACCATGGTTAATCACTTCAATTCACAATGGTAGTAAATGAATTGGTAGACATCCTCGTTATAGTATAACAGAATAGAGGTTTACAAAGTTTTTTCCTGATATGAAATGAGCTCCTTTGTTTTTTTACATAGCCATGCTTTTCTATACTTTGTATCAGGAACATTTCCACCGTAGTCCAAAGTAATTCATCAACAGATTAGTTTAGGGCAGGATAACATAGCTTATAACACCAGTATAAATGACATGATTCAGAACAATCATTCACTATGGGTTTTACTTTTCCATGTAATAAACTATGGAATAACACAAGATGATATAAATACAGAACAGCTATTATCAAATATATTAATTTGTGTGAGTTTTGTAGTTCTAGAATTATCTAATGAATTACCGTGAGTTTGCCACTTCGTGAGAACTATGAATTTGTAAGGAACTGGATAAGGCTGGACTCCAATTAGGGTGAAAGTGTCTAAAACACACAAATTTATAAAAATCAAAGGCATTCTTTCTTCCTCATGCACAAAACAGCTCTGTTAACCTAAGGGTACTCCAGTTGGTTTGTCTTTAAGCACAATGTGCATTTGATAGCACAAATGTGACAATCATTCTAACTAAGAATTTTCTAATACATGATTCCTGGTTTTAGTACTGGTCCAATTGGTCTTCAGTTTATACACATATTTCCAGAATTTTAAGAGATTAATTTACGTATAATATACTCAACATTTTCTTTATTGACCAGTCATTAGATAGTATTTGGTACCTATGAAATTAAAAAAAAATTGTTATAGTTTTAAAAAATATTAAAATT